CATTTTTGCTACTGTGCCTACAAGACTATGTAAACGTCCTCTTCCCATTGCAAATGGTCAACAGCGCTGTTGTGTTCACACAAAGGCTGAGTTTGCGCTGCTCCATCCTTCAAACACAACTGCTTGGGGTAAAGCTGGATTACACTGTGACAGGCTCACAAAACAATCAGTGCTGAAATGTGCTGCACAAACTGTTAAGGTCAGACACAAGCACTTGAGCATGTTTACCTCTTTAAATGTCTGCAGCAGGTTGCTGCCTGACACAGAGAGCGTGATGTCTATATGATGCATGATGAACAGCGGCTCCTCCTGAGACTGATAGGGGAAGTAGGCCAGATTATCAGCGATGAACAACAGCATGTTCACCTCAATCTTCTGCTCAGACACAGAGAGACAGACAGATGGGAAAGGTCAGTCTCAACATCACAATAAAGAGCCAACGTTATGAAGAGACAGACACACAAAGAGTGCTAACCGAGCTGTCGTCGAAGAGATTGAGCAGTGAGATGAGGAACGCTCGTCGGTGTTGTCTGTTTGTGCGGATCATGCTATAGAGGTGGGAACACTGAGCAGAATGGGACTCGTCTTGACGGAAACCACGGATCACAGATCCCGCTGATCCCAAGATGGCCTGCTGCACTTGGAATGACATCTTCATTCCTGCTACAGCCTTCATCTGTAGAGTAATTCAAGTTATATAATTTAATAGCAATTAAAGTAAATAATGCAATAAGCAATTAAATAATCCAGGTATAACAATCCAATTTTATCACACACACACACACACACACACACAAGTCAAAAAAAATGTACTTGTATTTTTAGCTGCCCTTCAATACAACAACAGAATGTGTGCAAAAATTCTAATTACTTATAATTTAAAAGTATTTGAAATAGAATTAAATTAAAATAATAAATTAAAATAAAGTATTTAGGTATTTTATTCGTATATATAATTTAAATAAAATGTATTTGTGTATGTTACAATTTATATTCATATGTTCAAATACATTAAATAGATTTAATTTAAACTAGAATTATTATAATAACAACTATTACAAATGTTTACAAAAGTTAACATGCGTGTGTGTTTATGTATGCATGTATGTATGTATGCATGCATGTATATACATACACACACACACACACATAAATAATATACTTACATATAAATATTACTTGCAATATGTATGTATGTATGCATGCATGTATATACATACACACACACACACACACATAAATAATATACTTACATATAAATATTACTTGCAATATACACACAAATAAAAATGCTTAACCACTTTACATTCTTACACTCTTGGCTTCAATGTATTTGACCAGTAGGAATGCTCCAATTAATGAATAAAATTATGATCCAGCATGAGACACATATGGCAAGGTATGTGGATTGGTGCTCACATGGATGAATCCAGTGTATTTCTTATCAATCTCCACCAGCTGCTGGTCTGCTTTGTTCCTCATTGTGGGCTCTGGGTCCGTCCCCATGGCGATCAGATATGGCACACACTATGATTGGAAGGAGGAAGGAAAAGTGACAAGTCCGTGTAAGTGTGCAAGTTCTCCAGCCAAGGTTGTGACAGTGATGAGTAGGCCCAATGCAAAAAAATTGTGGGATGCAATTAAATCTATTAAATTGTGTTAACTGGAATAAAGCACTCTTAATTGTAGCTGAAATCATTACTAAACTAGTACTTATGCAAGAACATTTATGTAAAGTTTGGGGTCAGTATGATGTTTTTTTTTTTTTAAAGAAACTAACAGTTGTGTTATAAAAGAGTTGCATTTCAAATAGCAGCACGACTGTTTTCAATATCGATAATAATCAGAAATGTTTCTTGAACAGCAAATCAGCATATTAGAATGATTTCTGAAGGATCATGTGACACTGAAGACTGGAGTAATGATGCTGAAAATTCAGCTTTGCATCACAGAAATAAATTAAAATTTTAAATATATTCAAATAGAAAACAGTTTAATTTGTAATAATATTTCCCAATACTACTGTTTTTACTGCCTTTTTGATTAAATAAATGCAGCCTTGGGAGCAAAAGAGACTTTAACATTAAAACATCTTTTGTTAATAAATATTTACTTTGCAATTGCACTTATGCATTTTTTCCCAGTTTCCTGGGAATCAAACCCGTGAATATGGCGTTGCAATTATAACAAGGAAAAACAAAACAACATGCAAACAGTTGAGATGTGCAGAGGTTTATCATTCTGTGCAGGACTAGTGATGACATAGACGCTGGGTTTATAATGTCAGTGTTGTTGTATAGGGGTGTGTGTACCTGTACGGGGTGTATGAGTCCCTGGCTGAGGGTCAGAGCGATGACATTGAGGGCGAAGTGTCGTACACTGGACTGCGTATGGAAGAAAGACTCCAGGACCTGCTTCAAATAGAGCTGCATGATGGAGCTGCTCATACCAGATGAGATGTCACCCATCTCTTTCAGATCCTCTTGCTTTGACAATTTCTGCCCTGAAAAGATGAAAACACAACAAGCTTTCTTTAAGGGTGGTACAGAATTTATAGAGCCTTATAGAGTTTGGCAATCCCAGTTTACTGCCGTTAGTGTAGTGCAGGCTTTCTCAACCCTGGTCATCGAGGGCCACTGTCCTGCAAATGTTAGCTCCAACCCTAATCAAACACACCTGAACCAGCTAATTAAGCATGGCATGTATACTACATCGTTTTGTGGTTGTGTGGACGCAGATATTTCTTGAGACGAGGGGAAAAAAAGATCGGATACGAAACGCTCTGGCTTCGTGTGGACGTAGCCTAAAACTATAGAACACTGTTTTCACTAACTTAAATCTGAAATAAAAATATGAACATTAAAAGAAAAAAAGTTGCCTTGTCAATTAATTTTTAATTGAAGCACTAAAATAACTAAAATTAAAATAGAAATTAATTTTAATTAAACTAAAAATACATTTTAATTAAGAAAATATATTAAAAAGTATTTATTATTATTATTATATAAATACAAAAAAAAAAAAAGAAAATATAAAAATGAAAGCTTATTCAAAATATGAATAAATACTATAATAGTATATAAAAATATGAAAACAACAATGACTGCATCATCTTACCCAACCCAATGATGGCTTTGCATTTAACTTCTTCATCCTCGTGATTGGTGAAGTACAGTAATGATTCCAAAACCTTTTCCTTTATCACAACCTATCAATAACAGTGCAAGTTTTCAGGTTTAAATAACACAAACATAAATTAAAATAAACCATACAAAATCATAGTAATAAAGTTGAGAATAAAAAAAAATGAAAAATTTTGAAATATTTGATTAAAGTAATCATTAAAAAAATTATCTATAGATAAATAAGAGTAAAAAAAACTTGTAACAAACTATCTTGGGTTTAAAAAAGCTAGATATATCAATACAATACAAATATTAAGCAACTCAAGTCTTGTTACAGTGAAATTAGTAATGCTAATAAGCTTAAGTCAATGAGCAACAAATACATGGAAATCATAGCTGCATGTATATTACGTGCAGGTTTATGTATAATCGTGTAATTACATATCGGGAAAGGTTGTGATACCTTAGTGGTGCCCTTGAACTGCTCAAAGTCGAAGTCAAAGTGTCTGCAGAGAGCTCCCACGGTGAAGAGAGATCTGAGTAGAGCTGCTTTGGTGGCAGCCAGTGCCATGCTGTTCGTACCCTCCTGATGCTGTTGCTTTAGCTTAGTCAGAGCCCCATAATAACGGTTAAAACAGGCCCATACAAACTTATAATTACGAGTCACTTTATTCACTATCGCACCCAAACAGCTCACACAGTACTGGACAACCTGTGTGAAAGGATAAAAAGAGAAAGAACTTAGTGAGATGTGTAGAAATAGGTTTCAAAAGTGTATCTGTAAACACAGGTCGTCGTCAAATGAGCAACCAGCCAGTTGTTGAGCTAATTTAAGATGAATGAAACGTACAAATGAACATCTCATGCTAAATATGGCCAAAGTTTAAAAAAACGTGTTGGATGACAGAGTATTTCTGTGCAAAATACACTTCTTCAGGGTTAGTTTAAGTTCCAAAAAGGAACTTCATGACGTCAAAAAGGGCAGAATTCCTTGTATGGGCACTTCTCCTGGAAAAGCGTGCGCACACGTCCTCCAGAGCGAGAGCAAGAGCAGCGAATCAATGTGCTTCATTCGGGTTACAGAAGTCATCTGTAGAGCTGCACAGGACTACTTGAGAAGGAGTTGTCATTTTGTTTTTAGACAACAATGTCACCAAAGAAGTGTGTTTCTGGTTGTGGGGGAAAGATAACCTTGTTCAGCTTCCCAAAGAACCCAGCGTTAAGGGAACAGTGGATGCAGTTTGTTTCTCCGGGGCAGCAACAGAGATGTGCAAGTGTTTGTTCCCGGCATTTAGGTGTCAACAGTTTTATAAATAAATTTAATAAAATCTGATTCAAAATTTTTGTTCCTGTTTTATTTATGTCGATGTTACAGCTTGCAGAGCAAAAGCTGCATGTGCTCGTGACTCTTTAGCTCCGCCCATGGCACGTCTCCAGGAGCTCGACTGTTTTCAGAGAGAAGTGTAAAGCTGTATCTGTCTTTTATAAATCTGAGAAAACTAAAGACTCTTCAGAGATATGATATGCAAATCTATAGGTACTCAAGACTAACATGAGATTGGCAGAAACTGTGTGTTATGTCCCCTATAAAAAGTTACACAATAAATCACTTTAGAATTGTTACAGTCTTTTAAGTAAATCAAATGCTAATTGAGATATGTGAATTACGTATATATGAGTGTGTGAGTACAGGTCACTTACAGTCATCCCATATTTTAAGATGAGCTTCATCAGGTCTTCCTCAATGGTGGTCAGGAAGCTCTCGCTGGGGTGATCCATCAGCGGAACCACAAGCTCCAGGATCTTAGCAACGTTACAAATCACCATGAAGTCACTTTGAGACTGTGAAAATGACAAACACAAATGCATTACACAAACACTGAAAAAAACTAATGAAAATAATCTTATGACACGCATACCTTGGCACAATTTCATCTTAAAACACTAGCAGTAAACGGCCACTAGATGGCAGAATGACCACAAATATTGCACTGGCAGGTGCTTAGCATAGAGCCCTAAGAATCTGCTTGCTTGCGTGCATTTTTTCCCATTTGAGGTTTCAATCTTTCTGGATTTAATTTCTAATGGTTAAACAACATTTCATAATCAAAAAGCAAGTTTAATGAATTAAAATCATTACACTACATGAGACTACAATTTAACAACTATTCATTAAAGTTTGAACAAAAGTTCAATTTTTAGCGCTCTATGAAGGCCATTTTATTTTTTCCCAAATTCCATTTATTTCCATTAATTTATCTGGATTCCATTTTTTGTTTTTTCTTCAATTTTCTGGATTATGTTTTAATGGTGGAATTAAATTTTACTAATTAAAAAGCCTAATTTAAGTCACTAAACTTTTACAATTTAGCAACAATTTATTAAAAGTTTCAGTCTTAATTTTTCTAGATTCCATTTTAATGGTTTAAATACATTTTTACATATATTAAAAAAGCATTTCCAATAAACTGAATTTATGAAACTTTAATAATTCAATAATTTATTACATTTACAATAATAAAGATTTTTTTCACAAAACTTGTCATTTTTCTAGATTTATGATTTCATTAAAATGTATTATTAGAAATACGAAAGTCCTGCAAAATGGCAGGTTTACTGTTAAAATTAAAGTCTGAACTTACACTGCACTTGGTGGTGAGGTAGGGCTGCATAGTCATGGTATGCTTGACCATCAGCTGCGCTCTGATCTTACTGAACAGATACAGTGTGGTGATGCACGCGACCAACCGCGTTGAGTTCACACTCTTGTGCTCTGCACACAGACAGGATCACAACAGCAAATTAATACATTTTGGGAAAAACCATCATTTTTAAACTAGCAAGTTAATTAACTTAATTAGTCATACAATAATTTATTATTTATTTACAAAATTTACATTAAATGCAACTTAAACTAATAAATATATATATATATAAAAAACGAAAACTACAAAAAAAAAGCAACATGTAAAGATGCCTAAGAAAACTCTGAGTGATGGTTAAAATAGAAAGTGATTCTGTTTTTGATTCAATTAATTGAAATTAACTACCTTAACCCTATAAAGCCTATTGTATCATATTTGATACATTTCTAAGACCTCTAAATTATCAACATGATCAAAACTTAGCTGAAAAAAACCTCTTATACACAATCTATTACATCTTTTCTGTTGTCTGATTGATAGTTTATAAAAATCAGTGAAGATTTCAATTGCAAAAATAAATATAAAGTAAACACATTGTTCTTAATATTTTAAGATGAACATTTACTGGACTGAAGCAATTTAGCTTTACTTGATTATCCATAAAAACTTTTTTTTTTATTATTCTTTTTTTTTAGAAAAATCATGTAAATCAATGTATCAAATATGATACATCAGGCTATTATTTGTTCATCTCTCAACCATCACTGTATTGCACTGCATTGTATATTTTGCCCACCAAAATAAAAACTACAAAGTTTTGAACAATAAAACTAAAAGCTATCAGAATTTAATCTTACTTTTTGGCTATATAAATATCAGCAATTCCAGTAAATTTTATATTTTGCTCAGTTTGGTCCAAATAAAATTAAGGTGTTACTGAGTATAAGGTCTATATTCTCCTATATCATACTATATGAAACATAAAAGCCTGATGCATCAAATAAATATTACTCAAAAAAAAAAAAAAAAAAAAAAAAAAATGAAAACTTTTTATTTTTTTTTTT